AAATTGGTCGCTTGAAGATAGAACAACAAAGTCAGTATTCATGTCCCAAAAGAGCCATATGCCTCCACTAAACCTCTAGCCTCCACCAAAAATTTATTCGGCCAACCAAGCCTACGAGCTATTAATCCTGCCTTCTCCCCATCCTGCCTCGGTCTAGAAGTGCAAAAAATATTGACATTATTACGAACCATAAGATCAGATAAAAGACGTCGAAAAGAGGCGTCACCACCGCGCACCTCGAGTATTCCAAGTCATTATAATCATAAAGATAAAGGAGAGATGAACACCAGAAACAACAAGAAGCTACTGATTATAAGTCCCAAGCGAGACTTCACCTTCAACACGCATAACCACATCATTATCTTTCGTCAAAGGATTAGAATGCAAGACAAAAGACGTGCGTCCACCTGAACCCGAATCTAAAGGAATAGATGCACCATTTGTAATATTCGGATCAATTGGGACTGAACCCCTATCCACATAATTGACCCCAGCATCTAACGCCCACTATGAGTCAAATGAGGAAGTCCATTACTAATTATTTTATCAACATGAGTGGAACTTTTGGCACCACTATCTTGCTTGCCGAGCTTACTTGTGTAGGGCCTTGTTTTGCCAATTTATTTTTAACCTTTAAATAAGCCTCCATTGGGCTTGCAACTATAGCACTTCGGTCCACACTTGCACTTCGACCCACACCATCGTTTTTAGACCCACTGCTTGCAACTGCTTGCTTCTTTTTATTGGTAAAATTTTGTTTAGATTATGATTGAGTAAAAGTAAGTTTGATTATAAATTATCAAAATGAATATGAGTTTTAATAAATAATGAAACATGATTAAAAACATGATTTTACATAATACAATGAAATTAAAATAATTTAATATGAAGAAGTTAAATTTAATGAGTGAATTAAATTTTAAAACTTCAGAGAAATCATAAAAAATATTTTAAATATAAAGTGAAACATGAAAAAAATGAATTGAGATAATATAATGAAGAAATGAAATTTAATGAGTGAATTAAATTTGAAAACTTTAGAGATCATAAGAAAATATTTTAAATATAAAGTGAAACATGATTAAAAAAATGAATTGATATAATACAATAAATTTAAATTAATTTAATATGAAAAAGTGAAATTTATTGAGTAAATTAAATTTGAAAATATTAGAGAAATGAAAAGGCCTAGGGGGTTTATTCAAAGTAAAATTGGTAAAATTTTGTTTAGATTATGATTGAGTAAAAGTAAATTTGATTATAAAATTATCAAAATGAATATGAGTTTTATAAATAATGAAACATGATTAAAAACATGATTTTACATAATACAATGAAATTAAAATAATTTAATATGAAGAAGTTAAATTTAATGAGTGAATTAAATTTTAAAACTTCAGAGAAATCATAAAAAAATATTTTAAATATAAAGTGAAACATGAAAAAAATGAATTGAGATAATATAATGAAGAAATGAAATTTAATGAGTGAATTAAATTTGAAAACTTTAGAGATCATAAGAAATATTTTAAATGTAAAGTGAAACATGATTAAAAAAATGAATTGATATAATACAATAAATTTAAATTAATTTAATATGAAAAAGTGAAATTTATTGAGTAAATTAAATTTGAAAATATTAGAGAAATGAAAAGGCCTCCCAAACATCAACAAATAAGCTCTTCATATTGGAAAATAAGCTCCCTCCTCTTGGCTTATTCCAACCACATGATGAGAGAGCTCAAAATCCAGTAAGCCTAATGTACTATAAGCCCTGTCAAACATCAACAAATCTTCAATGGGTTTATCTTTAAATTTAAGTCATGTTTGGGCCAGCAAACGTTTACCCAACACTATAAGATTTTACAGCAGATCCAGTCTTACCATTATCATCAATTGAATTTCCACTTTTGGAGTTCATCATGCCATCTATCTGGTTAGACAAGTAAGCCATTGTTAAAGCGCAGGTTAAACTAGAAAATAGGCAATCATTCCATTTTGTTATCAGCTTCATTATTAGAGGTGGTTCGGAACTATTAAAAACAAGAGTGGGAATTCCTTTCATGGTTTCCTGGCAATGATGGATCATGGCCGTCGGGCAAGGAATTGAGAACCATTTTTACGCTATTGTGTTCGCAAGCTAACAGATTTAAATCCAAGCCTTCGTAACATCTTGATTGGTTTGTTGGCTAAAATTAGCTGTGACCTGGTGACGAATTTGAGTAATGACCCGTTTGAGCTTGTGCCCCCTCCCAGTTATAACACACCCAAGGTCTCATTCCAATTCAATGAAGCACTTGGAAAGTTCCTTGTAGACATCAGTCAGATGACACAGTTCATAATGGCTTCTACAGGTGTTCTGATTCTTAGTACACCATTACGCTCTAATGTGTTGGCACCACCGCTGGTATTACTGACCCAATTCTACTACTTTTTCCCATTACTGGCCAAAGCTTCGAACTTCAGCGTCATTTGTGGTAGCATTGAGGTACCAATATTCTGGTTTGCGTTTCTGTGGGCCCTCACCTTTTCTGTTCTTCAGGGTTTTGTTATATTGGTGGTGCTCTTTATTTCCTGGAAGCGAGAACTCTAAACATCGTGCCACGTTGTGATCATGGCTATTTAGAGTGTCCGCATTTGGAATACAATTGTTGATGTAAAAATATGGTTGTTCTTTAAGTTATGACATTGGAAAGAATTCTGTTTAGTTTTTTTTGTAAGATTTCATCATGCTTTTATTGGGCCAAATTTTTTGTGAATAAAAATGGCCCAATTTAATCTGTATGGAATTCGGGTGTGCATTTGAGCCCATTTATTAATTTGAATGATCCTATCGTATTATGGGTTGGTCATAAGGGCAGAAATAGGCCATGCTAGAATTTAATCAAGAGGAAACTAGCACCCAACAATCTAATAATATTTCTCATGTGTATTCAACATCATAATCCTTTTTGCGATGCAATTTTACTCTTCATGTTTAAAATTTTCTCTAAAATATTCTTTTTAATCATGATTAATCTTAGATAGAAACTCTTTAATTAAAAGTATTAAAGCCGGACCATCCAAATCAAATCTTAAAAGATTCAGAGGGGATGAGTGTTGGGGTGCTTATCTAAGGATGATCACCCAAACCAATTCTATATTTTAAAGAATGAATTATAATTTGAGAGATAAAATGGATGAGGTTTTAATTTATAACCAAATTCAATTCAACTAGTTTTTATATTAAGGCAAAAGATGGTATAATTGTTCTTTTGGTTATCACATTGTTCGTTTTTCTCTCTTTTTTTAATTTTTTTTTGTGGTGAGATGACCTCATGCTTTATATAATTAAAAAAAAGGGGTAATTTAATTGTATGGAATTTGGGTATGCATTTGAGGCCACTTAATAATTTGAATGGTCCTATTATATTATGGGCTAGTTTGGCTAGGTATCTAACGAGTCTTCAGGAAAATGACAATTACAGACCCTTAAATCTTTAATTATGAAAATTGTAAATAATGAATCATGAAATTCTATTAATGGACAATATTCCTTGTTTGTAATTTAAAATAATCTTAATAGAGTAAAATGTCCTATTGATAATTGAAAGATTCATTATCTTAATGAGTAAAAAATTGTCCCTTAAATTAATTGAATGAATAAAAAAGTAGTGTTTATGAGACTCAAGCCGTGACATCAATCATCCTTGTGGTGTGGCCCTTGGTCATCTCCTGTTATTTGATCTACGTTGCCCCCCATTGTGTTCAGTGATTCTTGATGAATACGTAGCTTGTTATTGTGTGGTTATTAGAAATAATTAATGAGAATTGAATAAAATATAAGGGTCAAACACATATAATGCCCCTGATTTTAGCTATCTTTCATATAATCTTTATCATCTTTAAAAGTTTAAAAAGCATACCTTCAATTTCATTTTTATAGTTTTACTTATTCAAATATATAAGTAAATTAAAAAGATGCATTAAAAATATTGAGTTTTGACAAGATCATTTAACTAATAAATAAAATGCAATATTGATGCTTGAAATGCGTTTGATAATTGGCAAATGACTTCGAGAATATGATAGAAAGAATTTTTTATTATATTTAATCAAATACTACATCCGATCCTAATTATAAGGCCTCACTTGTAACCTAGAATTAGGACCGAAGGTAGTATAACGGATTAAAAAGACCAAAATCATAACGCTCTCAAAACAGATTTCCCCTTTCTTCCCCCTTCCTTTTCCTTCGCATGATTATAGAACCTATCATCTCATATCTGGATCTCAATTCAGTTATATCTATTCTTTATACGATTATAGTCTTATTAAGTTAAAAGTAAAAGTGTTCCTTCGAATTTAGAAGTTAAAATTCATAAGAAAAAAATGTACATGTTCATCAACATAAACTCAAACCTCTTCTTTTTTGAGAGGAATGTGTTATGAACATGAGCTTAAAGTAAGAACACAATTCCAAAAGACTAACCTGTTAAAAAGAAATTCTTTAAACTTATAAATCCTGCCACATTTGTAAGTCTCCCCAACATAAAACTCATGTCTTTAGTCATCAATCGTTATATGTCACATATTACAATGATAGACGCGCAAATACCAAAACTAAATTAGTGGGCCTATTTTGAAGCTTATGATATGTTCATTTACATATCCCTTCCCCCCCCCCTTTTTTTTTTTGGGAATACCGTCATATCCCTTCAACATAAAACACATATTAGGAAGTATTTAAATATATAGTAATATGGCTCTACTCCATTTTTGGCCCATATCTCCTATATATATACGGCCTTTATCGTTCCCATATCTTAATCGGATTGTGCATATAAATTACAGTATTTGTTTGAAAATAAACAATACTACATGGTGGCTAAACTTTATGTCGACGTTCAATTGTGAAAGACTAACCATTTCCATTAGACTCAATTATGTTAGTGTTTGTTTATTAATAATTAAATAAGAAGTGGTCCCCTATTACCATAAAAGAGAACTCTGCATTTAATGTTATTATTGTGACACTAATTATTCCATACTCTGAATAATATTGCAATTTAATGCGTGTCAACTAGCATGTGTATATGTGCACATATACACCAAATACAGAATAAGAATTGCATTTCAAAGTGTCTTTAACTTGTATTGCTGAGGGCTAAAGATGGTTTCATGGTGGATCAGATTCATGTCCCTAACAGTGGCTCTACTCTTTGCAATTTTTATGGCCATCTCTGTTGGTAAGCTCTTATTTAACATATTTCTTCTTTCTCTTATGAAATTATATATGCTATCATTTCGACTGAATATCCTAAGGTTGTTTGCCATTAGGCCTAATTTAATTGTAGAAAACATCTATAAAATTTGACCTACATAAATATGATTTTCTTGTGATAACAAAAAATTGATAACAAATCTCTTAAAGTTTTTTATTTTATATATAATTGGATCTTTTTATCGTTAATTCATATATTTTTCACTATAAGACGTAATGTGATGTGATTACACAAGATCTAATTTTGTTCAATAGACATTTTAATCAATTGAAAGATAGTTTTGATTCCATTCGAATGAGGATTCAAAATATCAATCACATTGGTCAATCAAAGAGATGTTTAGCACCTTAAAAGAATGATCTCTCTAGCTACTTGAGCTTTATTATTTTGCGCACATAATGTCCTTAATTTTGGATTACGTACTGATAATATCTATATGGGAAGTCCAAAATGTCACATGTTGGCTATAAATAATGCATTAATTTTTGCCTTGAAAGTTTAAGGTGTCTATTTGGATAGTATTTAAGGTCCTAAAAGCTCATTTTGAAGCCCAAAATAGTGATAATAATCCCAAAATTCATGAACACCTCAAAAGTGATCGTGGAGCGTGCTCAGTATGCCTGCTCTAGCCTGATAACAAATGCCCTCAAAAATGGCCTGCCCATGTGCAATCCTATTAGTCAAAAACAATTGAACGACTTTATGATGCATTAGAATTCTAGTTGTTAGAGCATTTAAGGGCATTCAACGTCAAGTTTTATATCATTTATGACAATTTTGTGCAATAAATTTCATTTACAAACATACATATTAATTGATGAGCACAAACTCTTTGTCCTCTTTCAATCAATGAAATGTGTATTTTCTCACATTTAATTTTAATCTTTAATACCATTAAATGATGACAAACTCACATGTGCCATCTTGTTCAAATTGGAAACACAAGAGGCCATTGGTGTAAATTATGGCCGTAATGCAGACAACCTTCCACCTCCCTCACAAGTAATAGCCCTTTGCAAGAAATGTGGCATTCAATCATTTCGTCTCTTTGATCCAAGCCATGACATATTGGAAGCCCTAAGAGGTTCAAACCTCAAAGTAAGCATCGGAGTTAAAAATGAAGACATTCAAACCCTAGCTTCAAACCCATCAGCAGCAAACCAATGGGTGAGCACCAACGTGGCACCTTATGCAGATGACGTCAACATTCAATGGATCACCATAGGGAATGAAGTCATCCCAGGAGTTGAAGCGACGTTAGTCACACAAGCCATGCAAAACATTTACAGTGCAAAAAGCTCCATATTAGGCCCAACAAATAGTATCAAAGTCACAAAAGTTATGTCTATGGCCGGTCTCAGAAACGGATATCCTCCTTCAAATGGTGTGTTTTCAGATGAGATTGTGGAAGTAATGAGGCATGTATCAAGTTTTCTTGCTCAAACAGGATCACCTCTTTTGATCAACGCATATCCTTACATGGCCTATGCCTCAGACCCACAACATATTTCTTTTGAGTATGCAACTTTTCAAGCCCCAAGTCCTATAATAGATGGAAACTTGAAATATTTCAGTTTGTTTGAAGCTATGGTTGATGTAGTTAATGCGGCAATGGAGAAAATAGGATTTGGGAATGTGCCTGTTCTGGTGGCTGAGACAGGATGGCCTACAAAAGGGAATGAGCCATTCACAAGCATAGAGAATGCTCAGACATATAATCATAAGCTTCTAAGTTTTGTGCAGAGTGGTAAGGGTAGTCCTAGAAAGCCAACACAACCCGTAGATGCATTCATATTTGCGATGTTCAATGAGGACAAAAAGGAAGGGATTGTGGAGCAAAATTGGGGAATATTTAATCCTGATATGAGTCCTATTTATCCACTTTTTCCCTGCTGATGGCATCTTGATCAACATGCGAAAGAGGAAGTATATTATTTAGACATAATTTGTTGTCGGTTGGTGTGTTATATAATATTAGCTATATTCTGTAATCATATTGACGGTACATGTTAAATTTAGCTATTAATTAAGATGAGATCAATGGCAAAAGAAAAAATTGATTAAATATATCTTAAACCGATAATTTATAATTTTGACCAAGTGCAAAAAGAATTATCTCAAGGGTTAAGGACTTCCTTGCAACTGGTATAATTATTTGCAATAAAATCTTTATAAATTCCAACCTTGCAACCCCGCGTCATATGACTTGAGACTTTTGGTAATGTTGGGTTTCATCAAGTTCATTCTCAGTGGATTATAGCCCCAACCCAATTAAGATATAGTAGAGCATATGATATAAATATAATCAGCTGGTTTTTGTTCTTGCATGTTTTTCTTGAATGGTCTATATTCATTCTATTTTATTTTAATAAAATAATATATTTTAGGGTTAAGGTATATTCAGCATTTTGAAATATTTTTTTGGATGCATCCAACATCTAAAATATTTTGTGGTACATTTAGTCTCTTGAATTTTTTTTTTCACCTTGGTGCTAGATGCACCAAAAAATATTGTGTTAGAAACACCTAAAAAATACTTTAGGATATTAAATGCACTAGAAAATGATTGCACTTAAAAAAAAATATTTGAGGTTATTGAATACATCACAAAATACTTCGGGGTACTAAATACATCTAAAAAAATATTTTGAGATGTTGGATGCACCTTAATCCTATATTTTACCCAAAAAGGAAAATAATATGCTGGTCATATTATGCAATATATACTTTAAAATCAAATTAAGAATCATCGATGTAACTTTTACCTTCACACACCGCACACTTTGTCATATATGAATAATTTACAATACTATGGTGATAGAAAATAAAGAAATTCATTGACAAAAGTCTACCATATAGTAGAAAATAAATAAACTCCATAGTTTGAAAAGGTTGGACACGGTAGAAAAGAGTATAAATAATCCTAACATGATTAAAACAAATAAATTACACATTTGAAACCTTGGTTATGATAGAAAAGACACAAACTTAACATTCAAAAGGCACTATCATAGTTAAAAGAACGTGAATCATGCATTATACAAAAGCTAATCATGATATAAAGCATTAAAAATACAATATTAGGAAATATCGTGTTAGTGAGGAAAAGATTGAATCCATATATAGTTTACAAATTCATTTATAAAATTAACTATGATTAAAAAAGTGAAACTTGTCACAAACAAGTTATAATGGTATAAAAACTTTTAGACCAAAATATATATTTGATCTTTTAATTTTACATAAGATTTTCATTTATTCTATTAACTTTATAAAGCATATTTTTTGGTGGCATTATAAAGTGTATTTTCAGTTTCTTAGTCTTAATACATCTACCCTTATTTATCAAAGAATATTAACTCAACAATTAAATACTAGCAAAACACATTTAAACTTAAATCTTTTAATATAATTAAATAAAAACAAACGCTGTTAAAATTTTTTTAATGTCCATGTATTATATATAAAAATGATTATACTGCATCCTCTTTCGAATACAAGATCCAGTTGAACGGAGGTAGTAAAGGTTAGAATTTAAATATGATCGGGGGGGGATTTAGTTGCATAATTACCATTTAATTTTGTTGAGTTAACAAAAGTTGATGTAAAATTAGTTCAATTAAGTACTAACGTTGTCGAGATATATGATGTATGTTTGGATAATTATATAAGTAAGATAATTATTGTGATGAAATTGATTTTTCTTGTTAGATTACTTCGTAGTCTCAAGAGATTATTTATTTGATGAATTTAGAGATTTATCAATAATGGAATTGCTTTGAACCTTACTAGCCAAAAAGAAGTCTTGAACTATCTCTACGTGTAATAGTTGTATTTATGAAATTGTCGTGGCACTTTTAAACCGCTACCTCTCTTCTTGCAATGGTTGCAAATCCAATAATGACGTTTCAAAGTACTGCAACAGTAGTTTAATTTAAAAAATAAACAAAACACAAAAAAAAAGGGGGCTATAAAAGAAAACAAAAAGGGTACCTTTCTAAATATCTTGTCCATTGGGGGTTTTTTTTTCCTTAAATGCCCAAAACAGGGTTATTTATGCCAATAACATTATACTTATCCGATCCTTGATATAATACATATTTAACTGATTTGATTGGATTAAAAAAGTTAAGTAAGCCAATTAGTTATAAAAAAAATATGACATATTTTTCTTAAAACATTATAATCACCTCTCTTAATATCCTCCTTCTCTCAATTGAGAGAGTATCAATAGGAATAAATTAAAAAAATTGATAAACATGATAAATAGGTCTTACATTTAAGATTAAGATCAATTCAATAATTAGATTGTATATTAAGAACTAAGGGAACAATCTATAATGTTGTAGCATGGTAGTTTTGAAGTACTAAAAAAATGAGAAAAAAACAAATGAAAGCTATGATGTAAATTGGGTGTTGGGGATTTCATCCCTCTTGTAATCTACCCATGCCCTCCCTATATTTGGATAGAAAGAAAATTAGAGGAGAGAAAATACGAGGAGAGAAAACTCCTTTAAATAGTAAAAAAAATTATTGACTTTTGAAAATTTTCTTCTTAATATTCTCTTTATTTTCCTCCAGTTTTTTTGAAAATCCAGACATAGCCATAATCTTAGTACCTACTCTAACTCTTGCAAATAGAAAGAAAAAAGAAGGGTGACTTGTAAAGTAGTGGGGAAATTGAGAAGTTGCTTGTCCAAGCAAATTTCATCGAAAAAGTCATATTTCCCCCAAAAAAAAATTTCATGGAGAAATACAGCCTATTTGTAAAGTAGGGGAAGAATTGAAAAGTTGCGTGTACATAAAAAATAAAATTCCATGTCAAAATACAGCCTCCTCAACTGCCTTTTCATTGACCATCTCTCTCAACAACTCATGACTTTATGTCCCTTATGCCAATTTTTTAAAGATAGGGTGAGTTGGTGGAAGAGATAATTAATAATGGATTATTATTTAATGGATATATTATTGATGAGGACTATACTTTTTAAGAACGTTATATATATATTTTAATTTTTCAATTAGTTTCTTCCACAATCAATGGATATATTAAATAATGAACAGAATTTGCCAGGTGTGTTCTGTATCAAATGAAACATATCTCAATTGTTCTTTAATATAATATAATACTCGCTTCTAGGGGCATATTGGTTGGCATAAGTTGTTCTTTTTTTGAGATGTCCGAAACTTTTTAAAAAAAAAAAAAAATTCATAGGTAAAAGTATGCATAATCATTTTCAATATTTAATGCATGATAATAATAATAATAATAATGTTGTTATCAATTAAAATGTTTGCACCGAATACTTTAATTATGGTATAGTTTGTTAATTGATTAGGTGGTAACTGAAACGTGATACGCGAGATGACAAAGGATCTTTTCTCAATGTAACTTTTCTTTCACATTTGTTTTTTGTGGAAAGAAGTTTCTTGAATCTCAATTATCTGTAAATGTTTTTCAAGTGATATATAAATTTTTTCCTTGACATTTCACACTTGAAACAAATAATATATTAGTATAATTTAGGAAGTTTTATGCGTAAATTAAACACTCTACAGAACTTTATTGTTAATTTTTCATACTCTATTATTATTTCTACTGAGAGATGCTGATCATAATAGAACATGATTTGACTATTTAAACACAAGATTTGGAGTTTAAGTCTCTACAAATATAAAAGAAAAATACTTGGAGGTTTGACAACATCGAATTTAACCAAATTAGATGGCTATATTAAAAAGGGGGGGGGGAGAAAGTTACTTATTGGCAAAACAAAATTGAGAGTTAGTTGTATATAGCATAAAAATGGGGAAATCTTTTAAAAAATATTATTAAATTTCAAAATTCCAGATCAGTATTATTATCATATTCGTAAGGAAAATGACTATACTTGAAAAGCAAATAACAACGCATTTTTGTAATAATTCCTAATTTGGAATTTTGAAATTCAACAATTATTTTTTTTGGATTTTTTCCAAAAAATGCATGATTTGTTAATTAATTTGTACTTGTTTAGTATTTTTTCTCTCTTTTAAAATACTATTTATTATCGATTTTTATTGTGTACTTCGTAGAAATCGATTTAAAAAAGAATTATTAAAAGATATGACAAGAAAATAAAATTAGAGCAAAACATAAACATGTTTAAGAGATACATGTGTAGTTTAGAAATTAAAAATTGAAATTTTAATATTTGTTTGGCAAAAAAAAGAAGAAAAAGATTCGAAGTATGATCAGCCTGTTTGACCAATCGAATGATGTGACCGGCGTTAGAAGCCAAAAAGAATATCATATATTAGTAAATGGAGGAGCCGTTGGCTCAGCCGCCGCGGAGAGTCATTTTATGACTTTTCCTTCAAAATTTCTTTAAAATCAAGGCTTGGGTTGGCGAAACAAATAATTGACATAAAAGAGTACGTAGTCCATTTTCTACGGTACAACAAAATATTACAGTTATTTAATTTTTGGTGTAATAAAAGAATACATTTATGCAAAGGCATAAGTGCATAACTGAGTTTCAACTAGCTTGCTTTATACCTAAAACCTAAGAATAGAATCTTTGATCATTTATTAAGAAACGAGAATCCGTGTCAGCTACAACTAACCCTAATATATCAGTCCAAAAAGAAAACCCTAACCTAAGTCGGCCTATATTCTTTTATTAAAAAAACTGCAATTCAGAGAATATAAACACCTAAATTTTAACACGATACAACTCAATTCTTATAATTCTAGTCATTTAAAATATTTGTCCTTGAGTTTCAAAAATAATTTTAGATCCTCTAATTTTATTTTTTAAAAAAATATAAGGATAAAAAAATTAGGATAAAATTATAGGAATAGAATTGTACTATATCGCCTTATACAAAAAAGAGTTGTATGAAACCAAATTTAGAATTTGTATTTTAATTAAGTCAACATTATAATGATCGAATTGCATCAAATTTAGATTAAAAACCTGAGTTATGATCAAGTTGAAATTACAGGGACATGTAATAAAATGAACGAAGACTCTTCCACAACAATAAGATCATTTTCAATGAATTATCCATTAAAGAAAGACCAGAGAAAAAAGGTATGAATCTGGACAAAGCTTGTGTATGAAAGTCTTCCTTGATAATGAAACCAACTGAAAGCCCCATGCCATTATCTATTAATAATGCATGTTAGTTTGTTACTTTCTCTTGGTCTTATAAAACAAACTTAGAAGTGGGACTTTGACACGTCATTTGTACTGTACCATGGACCCCATCACGGCACCAAGCACGGATGTCCAAGGCAATTGGTTCTTAGTTTGGCTCCATGGATTAGGTACGCATCTGGCTTACATATAAAAATGGGTTAAGGTATATCCAATATTTAAAAATGTTTTTTTAAATATATTTAGTATCTTAAAATATCTTATGGTACATTTAACATCTTAAAATATTTTTTTAGATGTATTCAGAGTTTAAAATTTTTTTTTTGTCTTGGTGTTGAATGCACCAAAAACTATTTTTTAGGTGTATTCAGAACTTTAAATTTTTTTTGTCTTGGTGTTGGATGCACCAAAAACTATTTTTGGGTGCTAGACGTATTTTAAAAAAAACACCTTGAAGTACTAGACGCACAGTAAAATATTTTATAATACTAAACGTGTCTAAAAAATATTTAAAATACTAGATACATCACAAAATATTTTAAGATATTGGATGTACTTGAGAAAATATTTCGAGGTGTTGGATGTACTTTAAGTCTATAAAAAATTCTTGCTTGAACCTAATAATTTAACTTTGACCAAAAAAAAAAAAGAGAGAACCTAATAATTTAACATTTTTCCCATAAGTTTTTTTTTGGACGGGAATTTTTTCCCTTAAGTTGAAAACTTGCTCTGTTATGAATGAATAGAAAAGTTGCCATTACGTGTGTGCACAACATATGCAGTTTAAACATGCAGGAAAATAGAACTATTTACCAATGCTCACAATTAAAATCTGAAGGAAAATTTATTCATTTAAAAGATATAACATATATGTCAACATCAAATCTAATTTCCTCATTGAATACAGATCACACAAATTAAAAACAAAGCAAGAACATGATGATCATAAATCACCATCACATCTTCATATAATAATTAAAACAAGCACAAAAAGGAGAGGGGAAAAAAATAGCACTGCCTCTTTCCTAGCACATGAAGGCCAAGATCAACAATGATGCAACCAATGATCCCATCAATTGTTTAGCACTAAAAAATCCGCCAACTGCTCCGTTGCCGGCCGGTGGGGGTGGTGATGAGCCAGTTGCTGGAGTAGTGGTGGATGGAGTAGATGGTGATTTTGAGCCCGACGGGGCAGGTGTGGTGGGGGTGGAGCCGGCGGCGACCACATTGATGGCAAGCTTCATGCCACCAGAGCAATGGCCTGGAGTAGGGCAAATGAAGTACATTTTGCCAGGTGTAGTCAAAGCAATTTTTGTGTTTCCACCAGTGTAGGTCTTGAGGGCATTGGCAGTGCTGCAACTCTTGTAGCCATCCTCATTGACTGTGTCCACTCCATGGGTGGAGTCATATGTGAAAACTAGTTACCAAAATAAGTCAACATCATTTGGTTAGCTTGGTGTCCTCGGAGAGGAAAAATCAAATAATTAGGTAAAAATGTTCAAAAGGAGAAAAGTTGGGCACACAAAAAAACAATGAAGAAAGAAAAGTTCAAAAAGTGCAACCTATTTTGAAAATTTTACAGGTTTGAGAGTTAAAAGTTTGAATGGAATAAGAAGCTAATAACTCAAACCAATGGAAAAACGCAGCAAAACAGAGTGTATAAGAAAAATAAAAACAGAGTATGTACCCTGTTTAGAATGAAATGGACTCTCTTTCATAAAAATAGACTCCAGGTTCAAAAAATAATAATTCAAACACTACTCTGGACATAAATAATTTAATTGTTCTTATCATACCGTTTACTACAGTCAAACTGGACATGAAAATCATCAACACCTTATGTAAAACACGCACGCGCACACACATATTAACAACTCAAGATCCCAATGCAGAAAAGCACCGTGACGTGATTTTGAGTTCATAGGAAATTGAGTTCCTTCAATTTTAACTCAAATCTTATCATTAATAAATAATGCTACTTATTTTTTTTTAATATAACCATCTAATGAAATCATATTCGAGCATTGTCGGGTCTAATTAGAAGTAGTTCTTCTAAAAAAAGTTCTCTGTATTCACATGAAGTCAAATTCAAGATCTCGTACTTAAATAGTCACAACCTTTTTTCACTATCACCAAGGATTGGTCAAGGAAAATCTATTTTAGCTATAATCAAAAAGCATGAAAGAAGGGTTTATGAGAAACTGACCAAGATTGTCACCAACAGTGAAGGTTTGTCCAGAAGCCCAAGAGTCATAGTTCCCACCAAGAGTCCATCCAGAGCTGCCACCAACAGTATGGTCTGTTCCAAACACAGAAGGAACAGCCAGAAGCAGAACCATCAAAGAACAAGCAGCCATTAATGTAACCCTAGCCATCTCCTTTCTTTCTTTCTTTCTTCTTCTTCTTCTTCTAGTAGAATCACAAAGAGGAAAACAAAAGCTCAGTTGATTGCTATAAGCAAGAAGACAGCTTGAGGGTGAGGGTGAGGGTGAGGGTGAGGATGATGAAGAAGATATGTGTTGGCTTGGTGGAGAAAAGAAGGGCTATATATAAATGAATTGAGCCACCTACTCCCCTTTATGGTGTTGTTTAATCTTTTCTGCCACTAACTTTGTTAAAATTGAATAAATTATTGGGAATAATAAATAATAATAATAAAGTAATGAGTAGTTATAATTTGACGTAGTGGTAGTCCAGTTTGTCATGTCCCTACCTAATGCGTTGTGATGGATCGTTGCCCTTATTTGACTTGAAAAGTCTATTAGATATCATTGGGGCATAAAACAAAAATGAAAAAAGCAAGGCTGATATAGAATATATCTAGAACAAGATAATTATTAAAGATGATTTATTAATTACGTAAATAATATGCGTTCTCAAGTTGACTAACTTTGATGCTATTGGCCGCCATGCCCTTCTTTTCTGGCCTCCCTTGGCTGCTCCCAATTGTGTGAATGTGATCACAAATATATTCTTTTTGGTGATAAATTATTAGGTTCTCTTAGAAAAATACCTTACGGTGCTAAATAAGTCACAGAATATTTAAAGGTGATGAATGGATCATTAAGTTTTTTAAGATACTAAATACATTTAACAAAATATTTCAGGTGTTGGATGATCATTTACCTTGAGTTATATGTAACATCAAGTATTTATTAAATCCTAAGTTTGGATGGTTATAAAATTAAAAAAAAAATTACTTTCTAGGAGAAACAATAATAAAAACGTTTATTTTATGTTTTGTGTTCCATATGTATCATTATTTAATCATAAACTTACATGAAAAAAAAATGGACACATGATAAAGTATGATTGGAGAAATTAATATAATAATTATAAAAAATTTGACCTAAATATTTCGCAATTACGTGGAGTGATTTTCAATTACTTCTCACATCTCTTCATTGTATTTATTAACTACTCATGCTTTTTTAAATTAAGCTTAAGTTTCTGCTAAAATTCTCAATCATCCAAGTCATCTTCTCTAGGATTAACTATATTATTAGTGTTATTGACTAATCTAACTTGGACTCGTATTAAATTTTTATTGATGTGAGACTCTTCTAACGCAATGTTCCTCATCGATTAGGGTTGAATTTGAACAAAACTTTCTTATGAATACGTTATAACGAAATGTGTTTGTTGGGGGGCGTGTGTTTATATTCTTTGGACCCACAAAAAGTTGTGTGAAAGGCTCCAAGTTTGAATTTATGTGATGATTCTTTCTAGAGCATATATAGGCAATAACTAACACATGTACATAGAGTCCACACTATAAAGACACAAATGAAAATGATATATATCTTACTACAAGTTCTTCTCAATTCGACTACGTAATTGAGATCTTGATTATTATTTCTTCAAGTCTTAAGCATATAGTTAAAAAAAGAATTGAGTTTTAATTTAGGAGAACTATGTGATAAAGGACGAAGGAGATGAAAAGCATAGAAGAGAGTGAGAGATAGAGAGACTACGCATAAAAGAAAAGGAAACAAGAAAGAAGGGTGAGACTAAAAAAAGACAAAAACAAAAAACAAAATTTCATTTATCAAAAAGCGTTTAAAAAATAAATGAATTGAGGGCTATTTGCAGTCTCAACCTATTTATAGAAATTAATAACAAAATATTCTAGAATCTTGGAAATTAAACACAAATAATAATTAATGATAAAAAACAACCAAGTTAAAATTAAAATCAAATATTTCTTAATAATATTAAATATTTAAAATATCTAAAAATTCTAGTGTGTTCTCAAATTATAGTTAAGCCAATGTTATTTTTTATAACAAAATCATAATGTCATGGAACCTAATCAGAATCAAAATATGGTAATTATTTTATCAACATATATATATGTGCTTATTATCTAAGAAAGTTGGAATTCAAAACCTCAATTAAGAAATGTGAAATCCCTTATTCCTCAATCAAACCATCGCGATGAGAAGAAAATAATGTGTTTAATAAAGGTTGAAGAACTTAATTACTTAATCTCGCCAATATTTTTTTCTAAAAAAAACAGCTTTTTCTTTTCTTTTTTTTTTAAAATTATTTGCGTGTTCCTTTTTATTGTGAAAGATTCCGAATTTTCCCTGGAGCGAAGGATGCGATGCGAATTATGGATACTTGGATAGATATTTGTATGGACGCATGGGCGCCGTGCCAGTCAGACCGTTGTGGTCAAAAAGGGGTCAGTTTGGGTGTGCTACAGGAAGCTGCACAGGAGAGAATATAGTATATAAACTGTCATATATAATATTATATATATAATTTGGTTTTAAAAAAAAAATCTCCAAGGCTGCTTTTGCTATTACCTTTCTTATCATAATGTTCATATGGGTGAAATTGCAATTTTCTAATCTTTTTTTGCATCTCTTATCTAAGTTTCTTGTTGTGTTGAGTTACTCAAGTTCTCCAAATATTCTTTACATTTTTTAATTATATTAACTGCATCACATGCAAAAAGAGTTCGTTCAATGGTTTTTTTTTTTTTTTTGCTGATTTGGATTTTAATAGCACTTTGATATCGATACATTGCTTAAATTTTTTTTAGTTACTCCCTTTATAAAATTGATATTTTCTTAATTCCTTCTTCCTAACATCTATTACAACAACCTCACTTGTATAATTTGTTTAATTGTTTATAATTGATTTTTTAAAAAAAACATAAAAAGTAGTCCATTAGAATAACTTGACCTAAATATTTTTCTTTTTAAACGTCATTTATTTCTTGAGATATAATAGTAAAACAGTTATTCATATACTACCTCCGGTCCTTAATATAAGACTATATTTGAATTTTATTTTGATCATAAATATAAGATCCTAATCCACTTTGTCTCCTATATTTATGTATTTTTTTGTGTTAAAGTAGTCCTTCTAATAATGATAGTTTTAGTCAATAAGTTTGATTAGCAAGGATATTTTATAAAAGACAATACATATTTATTACAAATAACTAACTTAATTTCTTTTCTTAATCTCCCCAAATTAGTCAACTAGCTCTTATAATTAGAACCGGAGGTAGTATTAAGTTTCGAGAAAATTATTTTTATTAATAACAACCATACCTTTTTTTTTTTAATACAAACCACCATACATATTTTTGGTGCAAAATTGGGCTCATCCACAAACTAAGGACAAGGAACCAACCAGGTGACATACAATTTAGGGTCCGTTTGGTTGGGCTTCTAAAGAGTTTTAAGTAGCTTAAAATCAGCATAAGCTCGATTGGTGTTAAGATGCTGTTTGGTTGGGCTTAAAAAAAAAAGTAGCTTATACAATTTAAGCTACTGAACGCACGTTCTGGCCCAAGCTAATTTTTGTGGCTTATTGAATCAGATAAGCTCTTATTTTTTTACTGTTGAGCTCTTCCTGTCGGCCAGTCCTCATTTTTCTTCCTGGAGTCTTCTTTCTTTTCTTCTTTCACGTCTGCTCTCCCTTCTGCCCGACCCCCAAGCCCTCATCCTGCCTCCTCTATCGCGTCGTCGTCGGAACCACCGAGAGTTGCCGTGAGCTCGGTCGCGTCTCCTCCGTGAGGTCTGGGTGTGGCTTCGAGTGACCGAGAGTCCTTCACGCGAGCTGCCTCCCCTCATCCTCCGTCGCGTCGTCGCCAAAACCACCGAGACTTGGTTGCCGTCAGCTCCGTCGAGTCTCCTCCGTGAGGTCTGGGTGTGGCTTCGAGTGACCGAGAGTCCTTCACTCGAGCTGCCTCCCCTCATCCTCTGTCGCGTCGTCACTAGAACCACCGAGACTTGGTTGCCGTCAACTCCGTCGCGTCTCCTCGGTGACAGGAAGCAATTGGCTGTGGCTTTGAGTGACCGAGAGGCTGGTCGTTCATCACGCGAGTCCACCCTGTCGGAGCTGCTATCGTCGTCCCAACCAGTCGCCGCCGTCAGCTGGTCCATCTCAGGTGTGCGTCGAAGATCTTAGCTTGGTCTGATTTGAGCTGTGTTTCAGTGATCAGCGTTGGCCGATCTACCTCTGCCTAACTTCAATTGGTCTAATTTGTGCGAGGTTGGCCGATTCCCATATGTTTGTGTTGGTTTTCGGTGAATGTAGGAGTGATACGCTATTAATCAAAGCATGTAGAGTTGTGTGTTTGTTGATCTATTGTGAGCTGATAGATAGACTGAAATCGAACCACCGTGCTGTCTGAATGTTTTCTTCTTGGCCTGGTTTTGTGCTGTGTTTCAGTGATCAGTGAATTTTTGTGATGAATGCTTGACGTTTGTTGATTTTTAGATCTGAGTTTTGGGCCAAACCTGGCATAGATCCTAATTGCTCGCTATAAACGAGTGTTGTAGGAGACAGGAGGAATAAGCCATATATTCTTCCAAAAGAAATCTGAGTCCCAAATTACATTCGATGTCAATTAATGTTGTCAAATGGTCCACTTCTTATTAGTTTATGATAAGTTTTCTTCTAATTTACACATCAATAAAACATTTTTAACCAATTCAAGTAATTTGACCTAAGTATTCTCTTTTTATTTTTGCCTTCAATTATTATCCATCATCTTCTTATTAATTGGATTGTCAAGGGTGAAGGATATTTTAGGAAAAAATTATTGATTACTCTTATACGTTTATAAATTCTTTTTTTGAAAAAATTTTTACCCTCAATTCTGTGGGACAGGTTTTTAAGAAAATTGTTAAGTACTCTTATGAATTTATAAATTGTTTTGCATGACACTTTCGCATATATACACCCACACACATTTTTTTGGGGGAGGAGCAGAGGGAGTGAGCATGAGCCGATTGGAATCCAAAAATTAGGAGATAAGACAAGCCATTTATTGAGCAAGTAAAACAAGTCGTTTATTTCTTACATAATGTAGCTTGAATTTGAACATTTTTGGTGCTTTGTTTGCTTCTGTTAGTCTTATCTATATTATTTTCCACCTAGAAATGGATAACGATAAAGAAAAAGTGAGTTGGGATTCGTATACAACGAAAATCCTAATCGATGTTTGTGTTGAGCAAATTGTGCACAAGGAACGCCAAGGAACATCATTTACGAGGCCGGGTTGGAACAAAATTACAAAGAATTTTCAGAAAAGGAGTGGGAAAATGTATGACAGGAAGCAACTTAAGAATAGATTTGACATTTTGAGAAAGGATTGGAAGTTGTGGGAGAAACTTATGTCTGGGGAGATTGGCATTGGTTATGATGCAGCGACAAATAGGGTGTTGGCCTCCGATGAGTGGTGGCAACGGAAATTAATGGTAACTATTTGTGTTGGTTGAGTTTTAATTTTAAATATCAATTTCGTCATCGCTGACACTTGCTTAATTACGTTAATGTAGGTGGATCCCAATTTCGAGAAATTTAGACATCAGGGGTTGATGTTTGCATCAGACCTAATGAAGATATTCAAAGATGTTGTGGCTTCGGGAGACTTTATGTATGCACCATCAGCCTCACAACCTCAGCCAGCATTCACTCCACAGCCTGACACAGAAGAGGAGGATGTTTATAGAGTCGGGCTCGACCAACAGGAAGGGTCGGGGGACAGTGAGGATGAAAATTTCGGTGTTGACCCAACAGCCACCGCAGGGATCTCAGATGATTTTGCCAGTTGCAACTTAAACAACCGTTCGAGTACTGGACCAAGTGACTCAGGAAGCTATGGAAAGAGGAAGAGGGGTGAGACGTCTGATGCGAAGAAGAAGAAAAAAGTTGCTGCGACTACAAAAATTTCTGATAGCCTGAGTGTTATAGCAGCTGCTTCTGAAAAGTGAGCATCAGCATTGGTTGAAGATCCCCAACAAGTTGAGAAGATTTGGGGACACCTGGCTTGCCTTGAGGAGCTTAATGGTAACCCTCAACTATATTATGCATGTGCGAAGATGCTTACGCGGTTGAGGTGGGCTAGGCGAGCCTATTTGGGGTTTATGCATGATAGAAGCAAGTTATTGGAGTGGTTGATACCGGTAGCACTAGACCCAGACACATGGAAGGGACCTGTAGATTAGGATTTAGTTTAGGACTTTGTTGTTTCACTGTTGTTACTGCACTTGTTAACTTGAACTAATTGCTGTTTGAACCTAAACTTATGTGACCTGTTGTAAAAATCTTAGTAATGACTGTAATATTTATGCTAATTTCTACTTATCATATATGTGTTTAGTTTTTCTGTTTGCAGTATGATAATTATTTACACCTTCTTTAGGGTAATCCTTATAATGCTTACACTTTGTTGTCATCATAGTTACAGGGTTAACTCCAAAAATGGCTTCTTGGAATAATGATTCACCATTGAATGAAGATACTTTGAAGGATTGGAATGATGATTCTCAGTGGAATGAAGATGACCGTTCAAGACAGATTAATGAGGAATTAACACAATATGAAGCAGTAGGTGCATTGGTTGGTCATTACTGTGAAATGTATATGTTTAAACAACCCTGCAGAACTAGTGAGCAAACAGGAAATTTATGGGTGCAAGGCATTATGAATGGCCATGATGATCGATGTCCTGAAATGTTTAGAGGGGATAAACATGTTTTCCACCTCTTATGTACCAAATTGGAGGAACACGGTTTACGAAAGTCTAAATACGTAGGAATTGAAGAAATGGTCGCGATGTTTTTAAACACGGTTGCACATGGACAATGCAATAGGATGATCCAGGAACGGTTTCAACGTTCAGGGGAAACTGTAAGTAGGCACTTTCATAATGTACTGTAAGCTTGCCTTAGCCTATCGAGTGAACTTATTCGACCCATAGATCCTACATTTCGTGGAACTCATAGAAAAATTGAGACCGATCCACGTTATTATCCATTTTTCAAGGACGCAATCGGAGCAATTGATGGCACTCATATTCAGTGTGTTGTCCCTGCTGCAAAAAGAGACAAATTTATTGGCAAAAAGGGAAATCCATCACAAAATGTTATGGCTATATGTGATTGGGATATGTGTTTCACTTTTGTCTTGGCAGGATGGGAGGGATCTGCACATGATGCTCGTATATTTGACAGTGCTATTACAAATTCATCTCTTAATTTCCCTCATCCACCTCCAGGTATATGTTTATAAGTTTCAATCACGCATGTTTTTTTAATTATTTCATTTTTTTTTCTTTTGACAATCTCTCTAATTGTTTCATGAATCATTAGAGAAATATTACTTGGTTGATGCGGGATATCCAACACCAAATGGATATCTAGGTCCATACAGATCTGAGCGCTAACACCTTCCGGACTTCCGACGACAAGTAGGATTCCGAAATAGCAACGAAGCCTTCAATTACTATCATTCCAGTTTAAGGTGCACAATAGAAAGAACTTTCGGTGTTTGGAAGAATAGATTTCACATCTTACGAAACATGCGTAGTTACGACTTCCAAACACAAGTATACTTAGTTTGTGCAACAATGGCCATTCATAACCTTATAAGGAGACATTTAAGCTCCGACTTTCTTTTTGAACAAGCTGAAAATGATAATATAATGGTCGAACATGATCAGGCTGAAGCTAGTCAACCATCGCCTTCAAACGTTACATCACAGTCTTCATTGCATATGAATCGTGTTCGTGATGCAATCAGAGACCAAATCGTTCATAGTTTATCAAATAATTAATTATATAATACTCCTCCGATCCTTAATATAAGACCCATTTAACTAATTTGATTAGATTAAGGAAGTTAGGTAAGTTAGTTAATTATAAAAAAAGTGACACATTTTTCCTAAAACACCATAATTATCTTTCTTAATACCACCTCTCCCTCTTCTATTTGATTATAGTTGAGGGAGTAACCATAGGGGTAATTTAGAGAAAATTGATAAATATGAGAAATGGGTCTTATATTTAGGACCAAAACCAACTCAAGAATTGGGTCCTATATTAAGGACCGGAGGAGTATTATTTTATTTTACTTTGTCAATTGGAGTTCAAAACTTTGTTATCCATTTAAATTATGTTTAGTTGACTTCTTCGTATTAAATTAATTTAAATTTATTGTATTATGTTAATTTTTTTTATCATGTTGCACTTCGTTTCTTAAATATTTTTTATGATTTCTCTACGGTTCGTAATTCTAATTCACTAAATAAATTTTACTTCATTATTATATTATCTCTATTCAATTTTTTCCTTCTTTCACTTTATATTTAAAATAATTTTTTAGATTTCTCTAAATTTTTAAAATTTAATTCACTTATTCGTATTGAATTATTTTAATTCCATTGTATTATGTGAAATTATTTTTTTCCTATTTTTTACTATTTATTAAAACTCATATCCATTTTGGTCATTTTACAACCAAACTTACTTTTACTCAACCATAATCCAAACAACTTTTTACCAATCTCACTTTTGCAAATGGACTTTTCTGAACTCCAATCCAAACACAATTCAGCTTATCTAATTTAGCTTTTATCCCACTTCACTTATCCATAAGCAGTTTTTCCAATAAGCAGCTTTTCCAATCGCTCATCCAAACGGGCACCTAATCACCTGTCAATCACACAATGCCATTTGGGTAACCTTGGTGTGCCTAGGTTATTGGTTGGGATAGAGCAATAGTTATGTGGGAATCACCTCCAAATTCCATGCTTTACCAAACTCTTCGATGATCTTAAGAATCGAATTCGCTCCTTTTGATGAGCTTGTCTAACCCTCAATTGCTGGACCCATACACTTTTGTATCTTTTCATGTAAACCAAATGGTGCCGGTAAAATCAACTGGAATGGTAACTTGCAACCGATGACTAATTAACAACCTATCAATAACAGTCCGCATGACATTTTTTTTTTTTTTGGTTTTCCGGTTACATCAGCATGACATTTCTATTAGAAGGGCTATAAAGGAGGCCCACTAAGAAAATGCTTGCCAGACCAAAAATATTAAATCCTCTACCAGAGGGAGAGGGAACCTTGGACTTACAGCTGCAAACTACAAACAAAAGAAAGCCCACAAAGAGAGTGTTGGTTTGTGACCCCTGGTACACTTGTACATTGCCGAAAATAAAGCGAAAGTGCAAAACCCCAAAAAAAAAAAAAAAATTGTGTCGCGTATAAGTAGTTGGCTCACATGCTAAACCCATGGCATCAAACAAGAATGCTCACAATAACTTTTATATTATTTTCCTCTTATACTTAATATAAGAACTAATTATTAAGTTGATATTAGTCCTAAATATAAGATATATTTTTCATATTTATCATTTTTTTAAATTACTTCTATTGATGCTTTTCAATTATAATTAAGTAGATGAAGGATAGAAGATATTAAGAAAGATGATTATGGTGTTTTAAGAAATTCATGTCATATTTTTTATAATTAACTAATTTATCTAACTTTTTTAATCTAATTAAATTAATTAAATAGGTTTTACATTAATAATTAGAGAAGTAAGTTGTATTATCTACAATATAATTTCTATGTGGAGTGATTCACATATACATGAACACATAGTATGCCTATTACCCTATGTTTAGTAACTGATTTCTTTAATCTAATCAGTTAAATACATCTTACATTAAGTATCAAAAGGGTAAGTTGTATTATGTACACTATAATTTCTATGTGGAGTGATGCACATATACATGAACACATAGTATGCCTATTACCCTATGTTTAGTAACTGATTTCTTTAATCTAATCAGTTAAATACATCTTACATTAAGTATCAAAAGGGTAAGTTGTATTATGTACACTATAATTTCTATGTGGAGTGATGCACATATACATGAGCACATAGTATGATGCCGTGTGCCCTATATTTGGTACAAGAAAAATGGAGGGGATAGAAAATTTTAATAGTTTTGATTTGAAAATTTGTAAAAGCGGGTTGTAAAATTTTAATACAGATCATATGTAAAATAAAAAGAGTAAGAAAAATTAATTAAAAACTTTTAATCATATTTTTAAAATTTTTAAAATCAAACTCATTAAATTTTTTCCTTCAATTCCTTTCCCTTTCTTTATAGGATCATTATTATTAGATTAAACTTAGGATTTTATTATTAGGATGTGATTTATATTACTCCTCCGGTCCTTAATATAAGACCTAATTATTGAGTTGGTTTTGGTCCTAAATATAAGACCCATTTCTCATATTTATCAATTTTTCTCTAAATTACCCTTATGAATACTCCCTAAACCATAATCAAGTAGAAGAGGAAGAGGGTATTAAAAAAGATGATTATAGTGTTTTAGAAAAAACATGTTACATTTCTTATAATTAATTCACTTACCTAATTTTCTTAATCTAATCAAATTAGTTAAATAGATATTATATTAAAGATAGGATAAGTATTATTTTAGGCTTATTTTGATTTATTGTTATTTTATTATTCTAAGACTCTCATAAGGATCACCATCGTCATAATCAATATTAATTGCTTTCATAAGCAGTACTAGGATTGACAGTAAATTCTGAATATCGAATGAGACGACAGTAACTTTTCTTTCTAGGTTTTCGCTTTTTTGTTTTGTTTTCTTTTTTTTGGGACAAGCGATTAAAGGGGAAACCACCTAACGTGAGCTTTTCTGTTTTCTATTTTCTAGTTTCTACAGTTTCTTCCTTTCTCCCTCTTCCTTACTGTAGTCTTTCTTAGTGTCCTTCTTGGTTTACGTCAATATTTTATAAAAATTATATTACTCCCTTGGTTCTGTTTTTTTTAATAATAAACAACTTCAAAAATTATATGACTTAAAATATAAGTTAAAAACAATAAATATATAATATATATTTCTAATTATACCTTATTTATAAAGAGAGTACACTGGAGATAGTGAGTAAAAATTTATTAAAAAGATAATAAGTGACGTATATTCAATGAGGTAAAATTAAAAATCAGTTTAAACTTTTAGACCAAAAAAATTATTTCTTATGCTTAGAAACCTTGTTATGAGGATTTTTTTTTTTTTTAAAGAAAAGGAATGGAGGGAGTATAATATTACATAAAAAATTAAAAGAAAATAAACTACTCAAATTTGGGGCCGGTAAAACTCGCCAAAAATAGCCGGATAGGGTTGGTCAAAAGCCAATCCGTTAGTAAACGAGCTTTTTTAACTTGCATCGTCAGGCTTGCAACTCGCCTGTTGGGCTAACCCACATTTATTTTTTAAAATTTTTTAATTATTATAATTATATTATTATATATTATATCCTATCTAAAAAATTAAAAAAATACTCATATAATTTATTTGGTGCTTTCAATCAAATATTTCAAGAAAAAACAAAAACTTTGTTATTACTTTTAGATATTGTATAAAAAATATTAAAAAAGTAAAAAAATTTTATTGAAAAAAATAAGTGTTTGGCGGGCAAATCTACCAACCCGTCTTAGCGGGTTAAGGGTTAGCTCCTTCAAACGAATATTTTCAACCCGATCCATATGAGTTCAATTCGTTACGAGCCAATCCGCAACCCGTAAGTTGGCCCTTATTACCAGCCCTACTTAAATTTGACTGTCACGTTTAGAGGTTATATGCAATAGAAAAAAAATACAACAACAATAATGTCAAAGCCTTATTTTACTAAGTGGAGTTGGCTACATGAATCACACCATGCTATTAGGCTCTATCAAAAACTTCTCACAAAAAAGTAATTTTATAAAATATTAAATCTCAACTATTTATTTTCAATCTAAAGAGGCGAATGGGGTGAGAGGGGAAAAAAGAAGAAAAATAGATAAAAAGAGGATTCAAATTCACTTATTTTATATAAAAACATACTCTCCGGTTTTTAATATAAGAGGTAGTTTGACTTTCAATTTTAGTTCTAAATATAAAATCTCAATACACTTTGTATTTTATATTTATCTATTATTTCTAAAATAACTCTTACAATAGTTGCATATGTTAAAGATTCTATCAAATAGTAATTCTAGCTAATATACATGATTAACAAGAGTATTTTATAAAAGACAATATCTATTTATTACACATAACTAACTTAACAAATTTTTTTAATTTATTTACATTAGGCAACTAGCTGAACCAGGGGTGGGATTATAAGTCTAACTTACAAATGAACTATTCTTATTGGCCTTGAGGGGGAAAACAACTACTAATCTATATCCATAGGACAAAATATAAATTTTGCCCGAATAATTAAGGCGGGTTCCGACCGTTGTGAGCCCGCGGTAACGGCTGATGTTAAACCCTATCGTCTTATCTCCGTCCTTAATTTCGCATTCCTAGGACAGCACAGTACTGCTATCTGGCGTCCCTCTTCGGAGTCACTGGCCATGGCTATCCTGGCCCTCCCCTTAGTCGTCTCCGTTCTCAAGCCCCACCCTTCTCACCTCATGGTGCTCCGGGCAGGCAAAGTCGCGGCCAACGGGTTATGCTTGCCGCTCTCCCGCCGTCAATTCACCAGTGCCAATGTCTCTGCCGCTGGCGCTGCTTCGATTTCACGGCATTCTTCTACTGAGTTAAAGAGCCAGACTGAGAAAGGTTCTGTGCTTACTTTTCAGCAAGCCATTCAGCGCCTTCAGGTCCTGCAACGAACTTCTGACGATGCTTGTATTGGGAACGGATCCTTTGAATTGATGGTTGAGCCTTTAGTCGCAGCAACGGACGAGATGAAGGCTGGTCACTCAGTTCCATTAAACCGTATCCATTTGGTTCTCAATTTATGGAAATGCAGGTTTTAGTGATCGAACGGATGAGGGGGTTGCGCAAATTCTGGTCCATGGGTTTTAGTTATGGAAATTTTGTTTGAAGTGGGATTGGTTCGGATTTCTCCAGTTCATCCTTATGGGCCTGACCCAATTTATGATCCTTCTGTGCCTCATCTTGTTCGTTGCTGTGACAATCGTCCTAGGTGCTCTATTCTGAGACACTTCAGGCGGATATCATTTTGGAGGATTCCCTTCGCTTTACTGTTATTGCTATATGCAGCGAGTAAAAGGCAAGTTGCAAAACGTCTTTTTCTTTTTTGACTGGTTGTTACTATTGGGATTGCAGGAATATTGGGCTTCTGTGGGATGTGCCATAATGCAATGCAGCAACACAGAGGTAATGGTCACTGCCTATTTACACCGCCGCACCACACCCCCCCCCCCCCAAAAAAAAAAAAAGAAAAGATCCTCTTTGAATGGAGAAATGGAGAGAAAGTAGAGACAAAGAGAAAGCTAGGAGATAAAACGGGAAGGTAAATAGATTATTTCCTATTTGGATGTGACGTACAAGAGGACAGAGAAAGAAAAATTGGGGAGAAAAAGAGCATGAGACCTACATGTTTTCTCTCCATTTTAATCCATTTTTTTGGTTACAAAAACGGAGAGATTTTGGAGTGAAACGCCATTTCCAAAGCAACTCCTTCAGCCACTCACTCTCGCTTCATTCTCCTCTGTCTACTCATACTCAACCTTTTCTGCATGGCTTCTTCATGCGGATCCCGGCTTCCTCATGGATCCCCCCCCCCCCCCCGGCGGGGCGGGGGGGGGGGCCCAAAAAAAAATTCTAGTTTACCTTTTTTTTTATTTTTAATTAGCATCCCAGGACCTGTTTGAACTGAGGAAAACTATGTTTATAGGGGGATTAGAAAACAAATCCTGTATGCTGCAGTTTTGTTTAACTTCACTTGCAACTTTTTTATATAAAATATCATTTAACTTACTTGATTTAACTAAAAAGATACATGGTATAAAGTAATTTGAATTAGCAGTTTTATTTTGTTTTTCTATGGGATTCTTCTCATATTTAAACAGTGCAACTATATATAGGAAACAGTGTTTTGGTATGTTTATTTATTTTGAAAAATAAAAAACACGTTACTGCGCACATAATGCACAATGGGGAGTAAATTATGTGAAGTTTTCTCAATACACTTCATTCAAATCTTATCTCTTATTTTTATTTTTCAAAACATTTATAAAAATGGCCAATGCATAAATCGATGTTAGATATGAAATCTCATTTAACTTGGTATCAATGCAAATTAGTCATTTTTCTTCCCTTGCCTATCCAAAGAAAAGAAGAGATTTCTTTTCACTTCTTTTCTTTTCATCATTTTCTCTCCACTGTATTTTCTTTTCGCCCATTTTCTCCTTATCCAAACAAAGCATTGCTCCCTTTTTTTCTTTCTCTCTGTTTTTTTTTTTTGGGGATAATTCCTTTGATGGCTTCCCTACCTGATTATTTAGCTTTAATCTCAAGAGATGAAATGTAGTTTTTTATTATTTTTTTTGGGGGGGGGGGTGTGCTTGATGGCGAGGAGAAGTCCAGGTTCCACAACATTATTCAAGCTAATGAACTTACTAATTCATACTTGGTTTACAATATTTTTCAGGTATTCTTGGAATGTTATAATTTTTTTGGGGGCTCAAATATTTCTTTACATAATTATAAAATTTTGTTTTTATTTGTAATGTAAAGCCTCTTGGTCTGGTCTATTAAGGTGAAAAATATTGTTCTTTCCAATCTTATACTTCATGGGATCAACTCTTGGGTCTGCTTCCCTTGGGGAATGTACATGGGATAACCTATATTGAATCTTCATGGTGCTTTGCAGGCTAGAAAACCACTACTGCATAGTACCACTATTCCTTTTTTTTTTTTGGGCGTAAAAAGTACCATTATTCTTTTAACACTCGCATACACTGATTTGCATTTGCTCGTCTTTATTTTTGTTGTTTCATTTCTTATTTTGCTAAAGAGAGCTTCTTGGTTCTATCTGCTCAGGGAACAATTTCTACTCGTGTTGAATGTTGATAGTCTTTGATTCACCCATTATTTTCCTATATTAACCAGGTTGGAGCTGGGACTATGAATCCACTTACATACTTAAGGGTTCTTGGTCCAGAGCCATGGAATGTTGCGTAAGTATGATTTTGATGTTTATTTATCAGTGTACATATCAAAATCTTCAAGATTTGGTTCAATAGAAAAAAAGTTGGAACAGTTTTGAAGATGAATGATTTTGTAATTCTTTTGAACCTCCTAGAAAAGTATAGGGCATAGAAGTATGTTTCTTTTCAAGTTTATTTTGATCAAGAATATTCTGTAGCATCTAGCAATTTATTTTATAGTATTACCTTCACATCTAGTATATTTGACTTTTGAATTTGAGGTGCTGTAAAACTTGCTTAAGAAATTATTCATTATTTTTTATTATTTTAATATTTAATAAATAATGACTAATGAATTAATAAATGTTGATTGATCTCTTATAGTGAATTTTCTATTTTTCCTTGGCTTTATATGTTGTGCAATAAAATTATGAAGTAAATTGGCCTCAGAATTGTTTTAAAAATTTTATTCCTCTAAATAATCATATCATATAATAAAGTTTAGGGATGATGAAATTCCCATCAATCAGCCTAAAAGTAAGGGATAATAATAAAACAAAAATAAAATAGAGAATCAACACAATAAATTCATTATAAAAATATTTAGGAAAGGTAAATTTAAAGGCCTAAATAATAGGCCCACTTCTAACGCTCCTTTGCAAGCTGAGAAAGAGATATTTATCACCCCAGCTTTCTGCATAATTCATCAAACTTGATCCTTGGAAGTTCGTTGGTTAAAATGTCACCAACTTGAGAGTTAGATAAAACATATGAGAGCTCAATCAACTTAGATTCAACATTCTCTTTGGTTCTTTCTACTCTCCTATTGGATGTTTCTTAGAAATATTTTGTTTGGATGTTTTAGGAAGGTTTTTTCATTTCAATATTTTGTCATCGTCAATTTTAAAAGATGAGTGAGGAAGACTTCAAGGGTCTTAGAATTGAAGTTTTTGGTAATTTTATTTTCATGTTGGAAGGTACGCTGAACCTAGTATCCGCCCTGATGATAGTCGGTACGGGGAAAACCCAAACAGGCTTCAAAGACACACTCAATTTCAGGTCAAGTTTGATATTTCAATCAACTTCAGAATTAAAGTTGTTTGAATATCTTTCTATTAAAATCTCTGTGTCTGCATGTGCCATTGATATCTGTTACTTTTTGATTGTAGGTAATTCTGAAGCCTGATCCTGGAAATTCTCAGGATCTTTTTATTCACAGCCTATCAGCTATAGGTAGAATGCTCTCAATCTTCTTTGAATTCTTTCTTTAAAGTGCTTTTTAATCATTTGGCTTTACTTTACAAGCATTTCTTTGTGCAGCTAATTGGAAAATGCCATGAAAAGTTGAAAGGAAAACCTTTCAAGGATGTCATGAAATAACATGTGAAAGCTGAATAAGCTTTGGATAGATAATCATGCATGAAATTTTGTTCTTTTACATTGATTTTTAGCTTGATAACCTATTGGTCATTCTTAAGGTTTTTAGTCTTTTTGCATTACTTTATGAGATTTCTTTGCACAGCTAATTGGAAAATGCCATGAAAAGAGAGAACTAATAAGGTTGAGAGGGCTCAAATGGTTTAGGAGAGTGAATGGTTTGCATGTGCTTTGCCAATTGACAGATATCACAGTGATGAAAACCATCAGTTTCATTTAATAAATTTGGAGACAACTTTGACATATAATTGAAACTAGGATGACCTATTTGATAATGCATTAGCATCAGTTCTTTATTTGAAGCTCATGCAGAAAAAACCATCTTCCCTCTTTGTTCATGTTGACCTTCAAGGTTCTGGGAACCCTGATAGAATCTAGTAACATCCATATAAGATACTGGAAATCAATCGAATGATGATGGAAATAAATCTAACCTGATTCCTAAGCCCATACGATTAGGCATATGATATTAGAACAGATAATGTAAGCATCTTAAATGAAATTCTGTGAAGTGGGCCTTAGAATATGGCCCAACATGTCCTCCACCAAATTCCAAGCCCGCAATTCTCTTTTTACACCCCTCACTGCATCCTATCATATGCATCAAGCAATAAGCCTTCTATAAGGTTATAAGGCATACCTCTCTATGGGGCATTTTTCTAATTTTATATCAGTTACTTAAAATTGTGAAAACGAGCAGTATGAGACAATTCCTTCTGTTTGTCTTTTAAATCCCCCAAAATTTCAACTCTCGATCTGAACTTATAGATGGCATGTATCTGTGATAGGTATTGATGTCAGTTCACATGACATACGATTTGTGGAGGACAACTGGGAGAGTCCGGTAATATAATACTGATTTTAATTTTAATGTAACTCATTGAGATGCCAATTTAACTTGCTTCCAAGTTATTTGTATGGTTAATCAATCATCTCTATATTGATATGGTCTTGGATTATATGCCAAATTGAAAATTTATCTAGGTTCTTGGTGCATGGGGTTTGGGCTGGGAAATTTGGATGGATGGGATGGAGATTACTCAATTCACGTACTTCCAGCAGGTGTGTTTTATTTCACTGGAATAATGTTGTACTTTGTGATTTTAGGAACATAAATTTTGTACTTTAGTTTTGTTCTCTAATCATATATTCTTGGGTTTAGGCTCACCGGTTTTTGTTACCTAAAACGTTTTGAATGCTTCTTCCTGTTAATGTTCTTATCTCCTCTCTCTCTCTCTCTCTGTCTATATATATATGTCTTTCCCCAGGCTGGAAGTCTCCAGCTGTCACCTATTTCTGTTGAAATCACTTATGGTCTTGAACGTATCCTCATGTTACTTCAGGTATGCTGGTTTATTTTCTTTTTTAGCATTTAACCCTTTTTACATTTTAAACTACTCAGAGAATGCTTCCTAAATTTTGTGACAGGGGGTTGATCACTTCAAGAAAATTAAATATTCTGATGCGATTACATATGGAGAATTGTTCTTGGAGAGCGAGTACCTCACTTCTCTTACTGCTTGCCATTCAATCATATTTTCTCTTTTATGCTTTTTGGTGAAAGATGATGCCAAGAAGATTTTTCAACTTCTCTCCTTTCTATATTTTGACTTTTGTGTTTGAGCCTTCTCTACTGTAATCTTCTAAGCTTTTGAGAGGTGAATTTTTGGATTGATTGAGTTCCAGTACTGTTTTTACCTTCTGTTTTGTCGGTTATATCAAACCCTAACTACCTACTCCCATAACAACAAATGTGTTATATTTCCAAGCTTAGGGGGTGTTTGGAAGCACTTTTTCGCAAAACGAGACAAACTCCTTCACATATTTACTTTGTATACCATAAAAGTACTTTTAAAACCATAGTTTTGTTTCTATCCAAATACCCCCTTAACTATTTATGTCTGCAGAGAAGTTGTGGTTAGTAAAAAAGGATCATTTATAGCTTCTAAATTGTCATCACAGTATCTTGAAGGATGTGATTTGACTTTGAAATATCCATAATGCATTTTTTCTTTTTTCTTTTTTCCATCTCATTTTTCTGCCACTCATGCACTATCAGACAATTGAGTGGTGATAGTTTCATTTGTGAATACGTGAGTGTTGAAATGTAGCATTGAGATCTCATTTATCAGTGGCACATATTTATATGGGCCTAAATACTTCCAAGTATAATCTTCCTGAGGCTTGTTTTGTGATTGTCACATTTTTGTGCGCGCGCGCGTGTGTAGTTTGGCAATTTTTGGCATCCTCTTCTCAAAATTCTGACCCTCGCATGTTTGTTTTCCTTATCTTGAAACTGCTTTACTCTAAGATGAATAATTTATTTTGTTTACCTTCCATAGGAAGGAAATGAGTGCATATTATTTGGAGCATGCCAGTGTTGATCATGTGCAGAAACATTTTGATTTCTTTGAGGAGGAAGCACGCTCTTTACTTGCTTTAGGCCTTCCAATCCCTGCGTACGTTTGATGGCATTTTAATTTTGTTTTCAAATATCTTCTTAGCCGCTTTTGTTGCCTTTAGCGGATGTGCTATTTTTACCTCCCCGTCTTGTCTTATCTTCTGATGTTTGTTCCACAAAATGCTAGGTATGATCAGCTTCTGAAAACGTCTCATGCGTTTAACATCTTGGACTCAAGAGGCTTTGTTGGGGTAACGGAGCGTGCTCGGTACTTTGGTCGTATGCGTAGGTAATGCTACTTAATTTGTATGGTAACTTTAAAGTGACCGTGTAATTGCTCACTTTTGTTTTAATAGTGACAGTGATTTATAATGTTATGAGCATGGTTACATGTTGTTCTTAGCTGTTATGTCAAATGTGACAATTTTGATGTTCTTGTTCTTTTACTTGTTTTGATTAGGAGTGCTAGGAAATAGGGATAGCTGATGTGAGTGAGAGAAAGAAGTTACATTGAACATTCCCCTCCCCCCCCAAAAAAAAAAGAAAAAGAAAAAGAAAAAGAAAACAGCAACAACAGCAGCAAAGTCTCATCTCGCTAGGTGGATTTGGCTATATAGAACATACGACGTCATTGAACTCTATTCCCCCCCCCCCCACCCAAAAAAAAAACACAAAAAAAAATAATTTCCCTTCTTTTTACTGATCTTTAGCGTTTCCTTATTCTCTGCATGCATTGTTTGCTTCAGTTTAGCTCGTCAATGTGCACAACTTTGGTTGAAGACTAGGGAGTCACTGGGCTACCCACTTGGTTTCATCTCTGAACCTGAAAATTTATCACTGCCAAAAGAAGTTTTGGTGGCTGCAGTTGATAAGGTTAGTTTGCATACCCAAAATATCAATGTTGTTAATATTTATTCATTCATCCCTTTTTCAAAAATGCTGGTTCTTTATAGGATTGTTGATGTTTTCATCCTCCTTTTAAGGTTCTCCTTTTATATAGGCTTGCTAATCTCCAAATGAGAAGGTGCGCTACACAAATACTACTGTTTTACCTGAAAAAAATTATTTGTTTCGCTAAGTATCTCCTTTCTAGAAAGTCAACTTCCTTCCTTTCTTTCTCCCTTGATCTCCAAAGAAGTAGGGGCACCATGCAAATACTGCCATCATACTTGACAAAATTATTTGTTTCCGTCATGGTTTTTCTATCTAGAAGATAAACTTCCTTTACAATCTCTGCATGTTACCAAATAATTTTAGGATTTCAACTGTGGATCTTTTAGAGTATTTATAGCGTAATGTCTTGTAAAGTGATAGCACCAGTTACTGTGGGATAATGGGCGATTTGGGAAAATAGAGAAATATTAGCAATAAACATTTATTTAAACAATTTTAGATATTTTCCATTTTGTTTCGGTTATTTTTCTAAGTTGTTGAGTGGTCCTCAAGTTTAGGAGTAGTGGGTTATGATACTTGCAGATTATGTCAATAATTTTATTTGTTTGTTTTTAGGCAGTTATTCTCATTGTAAGTTGTGGATTAATGGGATAGTCTTAGGAGTATTTTTTGGAGTCATTAGTTATTTTTCTACCTATAAATATTTAAGTTTTACCTCATGTAGAAATCATCTGGAAATAAAATTAGTATTTGTTTCGTGAGTGGAGATTCTCTCGAGGCTTTATTAGTTGAATGAGTTTAAGACTAAAGATATTTTTTTTAATCTTTATTAATTTATGAGGTTAGATCCTGATCTCGTAACTTAATAAAGCCCTTTCTTCCTTACTCTCTTTATCATATCTTGGATCCTCTCATTTGGTATCAGAGCCGTTCGATCCATTATGGGTTCCTTCCATATAAACTCTGCTTCTAAACCTTCATTCTGACCATCTCAGCATGCAATGCCCCATCTGAACATTTTCCCCTCTTATAAACCTTACCAATTGCTTTACATCATAGCCCGCCTTGATATCATTAATTCTAAAATTGCAGCATCCATAGTTCAAGGCCATGCTTACCATACTATGGCCCCTAGCTAGAGAACCACAGCTCGCCAGTTTTATCTGGAAGTCACTGGAAAGAAAATTTATAAACGGGAAGTTGCTACTCCTAAAACAGTGTACAAAGCTATTAGCTTCACATTAGAGCCTTAGACCATAGCCGAGAAGCCCAAATGGATTCTTATAGACCTGTTCATGGAAGTGCATTATGAGGCCTATGATCCCTATGGGTCTAAAGCTGTGAAGTAAGCCATTTGAAATACAACTCTTTTGATGGCTAGTTCCTTCGATTGTGATGCTAAGGAGATGCGACCTTCTCTTCTTCAGATCTCGTATATCCCAGCGAACTCAATCCACTTTCAGCCTCACACATTTCTATTTCAGAGCATGAGTGCCAGCACCGTCATGGTAAAGGTATCTGCTTTTAGTCTGGGACTCCTGTTAGACTTGGGCATTGCTACACATCGCCATTCTCTCTCTTGGAAATTTCAAAAGAGGACGAGGCTACTGTTGTGATGAAGCCAGAAGGTGCTGAAATCTCTTTTAAAGCAATTCTGGGGAAGGCAATCACGGACATGAAACGTAGCTATTGCCTATATTTTGCCTTGAAGACAGGGTGAAATTCCAATGGGGAAGTATTGATAGAGCACCGATTACTGTGGGATACTTTTATAGGCGATTTGGGGAGTTAAAGAAATATTAGGAATAAATCTTTATTTAAATTATTTTAGATATTTTCTATTTTATTTAGGTTATTTTTCTAGTTTGTTGAGTTGTCCTCAAGTTTAGGAGTAGTGGGTTATGATACTTGCAGATTATGTCAATAATTTTGCTTATTTAATTTTAAGTAGTTATTCCCATTATCTGAGTCGTGGGTTAATGGCGTAGTTTTAGGAGCATTTTTTTGGAGCCGTTAGTTATTTTTCTTATATAAATATTTAAGTTTTAACTCCTGTAGAAATCATCTGGAAGTAAAATTTGTATTTGTTTTACAAGTGGAGATTCTCCTAAGGCTTTATTTATTAGTTGAATGAGTTTAAGATCCTTGCTCATCTTCTACTAAAGATTTCTTTTAATCTTTATTAATTTAAGAGGTTAGATCATGATCTCATAACTTAATGAAGCCTTCTCTTCCTTATTCTCTATATCATAGCTTGGATTCTATCATTAAGCTACAAAATCTCTAAATGGGCCATAATTCACGGTTTTCCTCTATTCTTTTTTTTTTTTTCCGTTTTGTTTTTAAACCAAGGCCTTGCTTGGCAGGTACTGCCCTGCTTAGATGAGTTTATTGATAAGGTTGTGTGATTCTAATCTTTCTTTGGTTTTAGGTGCATGATCAATCAAGAGCATTTGTTATTGAAATTGGAACTGAAGAGATGCCACCTCAAGATGTTGTTGATGCAAGCAAGCAAGTATAACTTATTTTCATCTGAATTATTAGATGGAATTTTTTATCATGTTATTTTTCTGTTCTGGATTTTTTTTTTAAAATCTAACTGTTTCTCTCTTTTCTTTCTATGGCTAGGTAAACTTATAATATCCCATTGTTGTTCTTTATTTATTTTGCTGTGCTTGTTATTGTAGCTAAAGGATTTGATGTTGCAATTGCTTGAGAAGCAAAGGTTGGACCATGGCGAAGTGCAAGCGTTTGGTACCCCACGAAGATTAGTGGTATGTATGCCTATTGTGGTTGCTATTGAACCTTGACTTGCCTTTCTAGATCCTATTGTACTCTTATTGATTTAAGGATCAATAATAACTCAGAGGCCCCATTTTTCCCTCCACTTAAATCCTCCAAATCCTACAATTATACAACATAATCATTGTGTTTGAATTAGCAATGGGACAAATCATTTACTTTCGATTATTTTCTTTTAAGTGATGTAATAATCCATCACAAAAGTTCCTATAAGCAAATATGATTTATTCTTCTAAGTTAGATAAAATATGATAAGATACGAATATAGGATATAATATCCAAATCTAATCCTAGGATAAGACATAATTAAGGAAATAATAAACAATAAGCATAATATTAGTTAATTCTAAACTAGCGCATCTGAATACTCCCCCTCAAGCTGGATCTCTAGCTTGGATAATTGTGCTTCCCAACACACCTCCTCAAGCTTTGATGACTGCTTTATGGCATAAGGATATGTGAAGCACTTACGGCTCAAATCTGGTTGGGATGCTAACCACAACTCTGAATGTCACTAACATAAATTGGCATGCCACTACAGCTCTGAATGTAATAACATAAATTGGGATGCCACTACAGCTCTGAATGTAACTAACATAAATCTAGAAAAATTTACTTCACAAGGATGCTTCTTTTCATCTAGTGTTTGATAAATCGGGCAATTGCCCAAAATTTGATTTTTAGGAAGAGGCTTGGATGGGAATAATTTGTTCTTCATAATTCTCCCATATGCATTGTCGCGATCATGTATTATAGTAATCGTTCTTCAAATTTCTATCGTTCTTCAAAACTTGATTGATTGAGAAACTTATGAGCTTCTTTCTCGTGCAACTTCTTTGATTTTGTTCTCTGTCATGACATGTGAATTAGGGATTATGATTTACAACTTCACATTATATTTTATTTCCAATTACTGACTGATACTCCTACATAGAGAAGTATTTCCGGATAAGCATATTTGTAATTGCGGAGCTCCTTCAATATTGAACAAATCATTTTTTATGATGGTGCTCTCTTCCCTGCACCGAACAAGTGTGTAACATTTGGACTTTGCATCATCTCTAAAAGGTCGCTTTAATATCTATTTGTGTACCAATAAA